TTAGAGGAACTTGTCCATCTGACTTCCAGTATCTTCAGGGATGGGCAATCCCTCCTCTTTGGGCCCCTATGCCAATGTCCAGCCACCATCCTAGTATGGTTTTACCCCATATCTATTTGGAATTTCACATCTACCAGCTTCTGCCTGTTTCCTGTGTCCTGGGATAGGAACTGATGGGGGGAGTAACTGTCATGTGGGTACCCAAACACACACACTGAACATGTATGTGCATGTGTACACACACACCCACAGTAAAAGATAGATACATAGAGATGTGTATATCCACGGACATGCATTTACTTCTATATGTTTTTACACACATTCATACAAACAAGACTTATTTTGCCCTCAGGAAGGCAGTTTCAGCACTTACAAGGGAATTTTCCCTACCCAGACCTGCCCAGCCATCTACCTGGACAGTAGTTCTTAAAGAACTGGGAAAGGAGCAGAGATTGCATCCCACAGGCTGTTTATTCATTCAGTGCAACAAAGCTGGTTCTCAACATTCCCTGACAAGGGACTTGTGTGAAGATGTGATGGCCCACAACACGGTGCTGGTGCTCTACATTAGCTCAGGTGCTTGGCTGACCCGATGATGACTCAGAGCAGCTCCCCAGCAGCTGCACATGGGGAGGAGAGAAATAATCTCCTGCTGGCTGGCACCTGGGAAGGGTCATGAGCTCCTCCTGACCACCCCCCAATTCCTTTGCAGACTGGTCCAGAGTGGCTCAGAGTTCTGGGTGCAGCTGCAGAGGAGATTCAGGAGCGAGTCTGGTCAGGATGGCCTTAGCAGCACAGTGCAAACCCCTGGTAGGTGCAACTTCAGTGCCAAAGGAAAACGACCAAGATCTGAAAGAACTTACCAAGGGCATATTGGAACTGGGGATGGGGAGGAGAGAGAGAGAGACCGTCACCACACTCTGCTGTGCTGCTGCTCACTGGATGCTGTGAAGTTCTTCGTGAGGTTGCAGAGCTGACCCCCAGCTCACCAGGGCTGTAAAACCCTTCCCAAGTTGGGGGGGGTCCCACTTGCCACCTATGCTGGACCTGGCACAGCCTGCCAGCTTGTGCAGTATCCTCACCTGCCAGGCTGGATGGATCCCCACAGGGCTTTGTGAGGCCCAGGGCTGTGCCTGTCTGCACCCACTGGCCAGGCAGGTACCCGTGCGTGGGCACAGGGTGCAGGTGCTGCAGTGGAGTGTGCTGGTGCTGTACCTTGGTGAGAACAGGCCGGGGGAGCTGGGACACTGTGCCACACCTGTGTCATGCCCTGTCCCAGAGGCAGGGCTGACTGGACACACAAAGGTGCAGGATCTCTGCTCTGGCCATCTCTTGTGGAAGCACCTCTGTGTGTGCCCAGCGTGTGGTCCCAGCTGCCTCAGGTTGGGCAGTGCTGCCTCGTGCCCTGCTGCTGCCCACCTACAGACCCCCAGGAAGTTGTGCCACCTCAGCTGGGGCTGGGAGAGGGCCCATGGGGCTTTGTTTGTGAATTGTGCCCCGTGGGGCTTGTCCTGGCTCTGCAGGCTCTCTGAGAAGCGCTGTGGCACAGCTGGTTTCCAGCCTGAGGCTACACACCGTGGGTGTGCTCATGGCACGAATCTGCATCCCTGGCTCCTGCCCTGGCACTCACACAGCCCCTGCTGCAGCCACTGCCTTGGCTCCACAGGGTGAGTGCTGCTGGCTGCCTGTGGCAGGGTCCTCACAGTGCTGCCATGCAGCTGCTGTGGTCACCCTGCTGTGGTCACCCTGCTGCTTGGGGCCACGTCACACAGGGACAGTCCTGCTGTGCCGCCGCCCTGGCACAGTCCTGTGGTGTAGAGCAGAGCCTGTGCCCTCCCTGGCATCAGCTTGAATGCAGACATGAGTCCTGTTCCCGAACATGGACACACAGCTCTTGCCCCTGAACATGGACACATGACTCCTGCCCGTGAACATGGACACAGCTCATGTCCCTAAACATGGACACAGCTCCTGTCCCTGAACATGGACACAGCTCCTGTCTCTAAACATGGACACAGCTCCTGTCTCTAAACATGGACATACACTTCTGCCCCTGGACAGGGACATGCAGCTCCTCCCTCAGCCTGTCCTGAGCTGGGGCTGTGAGAAGCCACATTGGCCACTTTGGCACTCAGATGTGCTCCAACATTGGGGTAACCCTGGGCTGGGGCAAGGCAGGTCCCAAATGCTGCTGCTGGTGGGGTCTGGCCCCACTACCAGGTGCAGACTTTTCTTTTGGCTCCTTGGGACCGTGTCAGAGCCCGTGAGAAGCTGCTGGCAGCGGAGGAGCTCCCCTTGAATCCCCAGCACCTGTTTGCAAGATGTGAGTAGCAGCAGGGCATGGAGTGGTGCCGCTGCTGGCAGGACCTGGACAGGGCTGGTCCCTCAAGGCTCCTCCCTGAGGAGGCTGGACCCTCCACGGGCACTGTGTGGGCCATGTGGCTGCTCAGGGCCATGTGGCCCCAAGCCTTGGACTTCAGTGAACCTCGTGGGTCCTTTCCAACTCAGGGTATGATTCTGTGATTCCAGGGCTGTCCTCACACAGCTTCAGGTGGCACAGCCACTGCTCCCAACCCTGACCCCAGCCCCGATGGCACAGGCAGAGCAGGGGGGCAGGAGAGGGGTCTGCTGGGAGCCCCCAGCCCACACTGGCTCCAGAGCTGGGTCCAGGCTGGGCACCCAGGATTCGGGGCAGGGCTGGGATGGGAAGGGAGGCGCCAGGGCTGGGCTGGGCGGGATCCCGCACGGGAGATGATGTATGGGCAGATGTATCAGATCGCACAAGATAAACAAGCAGTGAATTTCATCAGGGCCCATCATGGCTTTAATTTGGCTGCCTAATGAGTCAGATCCAGCCGCGCAGATAAAAGTTGTCAGAGCCGCAGCCCTAATGAATTTCTTGCCACTTGTAATCAAGGCAGCTTGTCTGAGGGGGATGATTAATGGGCCCCAGAGGAGCTGCCGTCCCTCGGCTTCCATTCCCGCTAATGCAGTCGCCAGGAAATTAACCAAACCCAGCACTGGGCTGGGGCTGGGGCCGGTGAGGGGGCACCCACGGGCACCGCCAGGGGATGGGAATGAGGGGTGACACGGGTGGAAGGGGCAGACAGGGACCAGGACCAGCACGGGGATGGGGATGGAGACATGGGTACCCAGAGCCAGCATACAGCAAGGAGGGGAGGGGGCTGATGAAGGGGCTGGGGCCACTCTCTGCAGCCCCCAGAAGGGCAGCCCTCTGCCATGGGAGTGGCACGGGCCACAGCAGGGGTTTGGTGGGGACAACTGAGGGGTACCTGTGGCAGGTGGGGTGTCCTGGCACCTCCCTTCCTTGCAACACCACTACACAGGCTTGGGGACCAAGGCCCAGCAGAGCCCGGACCACGGCACAGAACAAGGAGACACATGAGCCCCAAACTGCTTTTTGTGTTGTGGCCTGGGGTGCAGCCAGCAGGGAACTGGCAGCACGGGGGCCTTGCTCTGCCCACAGCTGGGAGAAGCAGGTGGGGTCAGGGCTGGTGGTAGTGCAGACTCCCTTCACTGCTTGGGGCTACTTGTGCCTTGGAACTGGATGACCCCCAGCCTTGTGTAGCCATAGCACAGCACCCAGGCTCCTCACTCGCTGGCACAGCCCATCACTCCCTGCCCATCTTTGCCTCCCCCCACCCCAGCTTCACGCTCAGCTGCCCTGTGCACAGGGAATAGCTGGCCCCAGCATGTCCTGCCTGGCACACCCCTCTGCTGTGCCTGTCTCCAGTCCCACCAGAGCTGTGCATCCCTCCAGGGCCATGTCCTGGCATTGTCCCTCGGTGCCCAGGGTTGGCACATCTCCCCACCCCACTCCAGCACTCTGCCATGTCCCAGGGGCCTGGTGTGGCACAGGACTGCTGTTACCAGTGCCCAAGCTGGAGGAGAAGGGGCTGACTGATGGTCAGCCTGGGCTGGAGAGCCACCAGACTCCAGGGCTGCACCAGAGGCCCCAAAGGCAGTACACTGAGAGGCTGGCCTGGCAGGAGGTGGGTTGCTTTATTGGCCTTTATCTCCTTGGCTGCAGATGACACACACAGGGCAACTCATGGCAAAGAAACCGTATATACAGAGTGTCCATATAAATATTTCCAATGTACATTTTATACACAAGTGACAGAGACGTTCCACAGCAGCGTCCAAAGCCTTGGGGTTCCAGCACTCAGCTGCAGGCTTGGCCCCAATTCAGAGAGATGCTCCTCTCCTCTCCTCTTGCTCAGCCGGAGACCAGCCCCGCCTGGGCAGCAGCGGGAGCCAGCGGGAGGCTCTGATGGAGACACTGTGTATGGCTTTGGAGCTTGAACCTGGAAGGACAGTGACTCTACAGACAGACAGACACAGCTGGGGATCCTGGGGTGACTACCTCTTCCCCCTCCAGGTCACCAGGAAGGCTGGGGAGATCTTTGTCCAGGGGCTGTGCGGGGGAGATGCCGCCCATGCATCAGCACACGGTACCGGTGAGAGCATCTCTCCCGCACCAGCCAGAAGCAGAGGAGCTTGGGGGTGCAGCAGAGAAACATGCACCTCCTGCTGCCCCCCACCTCCCCCTGCAGGGGCTGTGTGTCCAGGCTGACACACAGGAGGGAGGGCAAGAGGCAAGTGCCCAAACTGACCTGTCTGGGAGAGTGGGTGCAGCCATCCCCCTCCCCGGTACCGCTGTGCATGGGGGGCCACACCCCTGAACTGCCCCCAGCCTCTGCTTTATCTACAGGTGTGCCTGGGGGGGCAGGAGAAACCGGCTCCCCCTCCATGTACCGGTCATGAGAACGGGGAACACTGGAGCCACCCCAGTGACTAAGCAGGAACCCCTCTGCAAGCTGACAGCACCGGGTCTGCACAGTCTCACCAGCTGCACGGGGAAAGTCCACCAGAACCGGCTCAGAGGAGCAGGACGCTGGCTCCCAGCTGGCTCCCGGCCTCCTCTTGGCCAGAACGGGAGTCCCGGTGGGGGCAAGCACTGTGGGGGGCCCGGCTGTGCTGCTCCCATCCCGCTCCTGAGGCCCTGGTCCCCGTGCGGAGGGCGGAGGGCCCAGGCAGGGCTAGACGGCGCTGGGGCTGGTGCTGAGCTCGGCCGGCGCCGCGGCGCAGGCGTTGTTGTTGGCGTTGGCGTTGCGGCGGGGCAGGCTGGGGGTCAGCGTGGCAGCGCTGTCGCTGGGGCAGCCGTGCTGCAGCAGGATGTCGATGCACTCCTGGCTGCCGGCTCGCCGGGCGTAGGCCAGCGGGGTCAGGCCCCGAGCGTCCCGGCTCTTCACGTCCACTCCGTACTGCATGGGAGAGAAGCAGCCCATCAGCGGCACCCGGGTGCCGTGTGCCCATGGGCATGGGAGTGGCGGGGAGCAGAGGGGCTCTGGGATGGGTAAGGAGAGGGAGCTGGGAGGGAGGGCAGGGCAATGTCAGTGGGCACGTGAGGGACCCCCAGCAGCAAGACGGGTGAGAGGTGTCTCATGCCCTGGGAGCAGGGAGGTGGGGAAGCACTGGGACAGCACCAGAAGTGCCACGGTGGAGGCTGCAGGTCTTACCCAGATGAGCAGCTGTGTGAAGACAACATTGGCCATAGCACAGGACAGATGCAGCGCTGTGCGCCCGTCGCCGTCCCCGTATGTCTCATTCACCTCCTCCTTGGTGCCGTGGGCCAGGAGTGTCACCACGAGGCGCAGGTCATCCTCCACCACGGCCCGCAGCAGCTGCTGCCCCAGAGGGATGTCCGACTGGGGCAGTGGGGCCAGGAAGAGCTTCTGCTCGTATTTAGCCCGGATCCAGCGCTCCTTCTCCTCCCTGCCAGACGGGACACTGTCACTGTCACAGGTGGGACAACCTGCCTGGGCCCCACATGCGAAGGGACACGAGTACCAGCACTGCCACCCAAACACATCCTTGTGAGCAGTGAGCGTCTGTCACTCCCAGGTATGTCCTACATACCCCTTGCTGTGTCCCAGTGCCCACAGATGTCACTAGGGCTCTGTAACCCCAATCCAGACACCTGCCTGACACCTGCTTGGCTCACTGAACTTCCTTACAGCTCCCTATGGACACTGCGTGGTTACATCCACGCTCGTAAAGTGGCAGCACCCCACACCCAGACCCCACACCTGTCCCTTCATTCTGGAGCCCCTCACACTCTCCTGCCCGCCCGTGCCGTGGCAGCGTGGGGACCGTCCCTGTCCCGTGGCAGCGCGTGGGCCGTGGCCAGCGGCAGGAAAAGGTTAGAGCCGCACACGCCAGCCCAGTGCCACGGGAGGCACCTTATCGGCGCCGCCGTCTCGCCCGGCGCAAACAAAGGCTGTGTCCGCGCCCGTCCCGGCGGGGCGGCGGGGCCGGCGGATCGATGTGTGCCGTCCCGCCGCTATCTGCTGCCTTTCTATCCATCTGCATCTGGCGGGCAGCCATCAATGCCCCGCGCAGAGCATGCTCACTGCCGGCGGCCCCTGACCCGCGCCAGCCTGATAAGCTGCAGAATGGGCTCTTGTTGGGATGAGTGACAGCAGAGTGGCTCCGATAGGGACAGACAAGGGCCTGAAAGGGACAGACCCTAGAGACACACATGATGCTGCCAAGCCATCTCTGTTAACCCCTTCGGCTTTGCAGCCAGCCTCGGCTCCCTCAGGCACCGCACGGCCGTGGCCACCGTGGAGCCTCACTGGCCAGTACCTCGAGGGCAGGCAAGACCCCCAACACTGGAGCACCTTGAGGAATCCTGTCTTGATGGCTGCTCCCAAATCCCCGTGGTGCCCCCATCCTTCTGGTGTGGTGCCCAAGAAGCATCCCTGGGGTTCCCCACCTCCCTTACCTACTGCTCTCAGGAGTGGGCTTGGGGTAGCCCTCCACCATTCCCTCCCAGACAGCGTTGGCCAGGGCGTTGCCGATGGCTGTCATGACCATGAGCAGCTCGCTGGGCCAGTCGTCCAGGTCCAGGGAGCGCACGCGGGACAGGTGGGTGCCCAGGTTGCGATGGATCCCGGAGCACTCGATGCACATGAGGGCACCCAGGTTCAGACTGGCCCAGTCGGGATCTGAGGGCGGCAGGATCAGTGGGGGAGAGTTAATACCTGCACAGACTCACCAGCTCGTCTCCTGTGCTTCAGAAGACCCATATTTGCAGGCACCTGCCCACCAGGACTCTTCCCAGCCCAGCGCCCCCGGGAGAAGTAGGGTCAGAGAGGCCAGGGCCCCAGGCTGGCCAGTGAGGGGTCACCCGCCAGTGTGGCAGGCGGGTCTGTACCCCACCCCTGAGGGGCAGGTCCACGGCAGGAGAGGACAGCACAGTCCCACAGAGCAGGTCTCTCTGGGCTGAGAGAGGGGGTGGCTGGGGTGGCTGGAGCCCCCTCCCATGCCCTCCCTCAGTGCAGTGTCTCTTACTCGGAGCGTCGCAGTCCACGCAGAAGCTGTTCCCGCGCGCGGTGCGGACGGCCTGCATGGCCTGTGCGTCGCCCTGGCTGCCCAGCCGAGCCTGCAACACACCCCACGAGACCCCCTTCGCTGCAGGCCACGCGTCCTGCACCCCCCGAGCCCCACAGTCCAGGGGAACCCAGGGGGTTGTCCAGCACAGGGACTCAGACAACTGGGTCTGGAGGGACCACGGATCGTGGCCAGCTGCGTGCCAGAGGAGCAGGGGACATGCACCACAGCAGGGAGAAAGGGCAGAGCTGTCCAGGGAGGGAGTGGACAGTGTGGATCCTGGTTGGTGGGATGCAGAATGCTCCATGGGGCCGGAGCCAGGCTGGGAAGAGGTGACAGAAAACCTGGGGGGAATCCCAGTGATGGGATTCAACTGATGGGGAGCAGAGGGATCTGGACAGGATCCAGCCTGGACACACAGGCTAACATGGGACATGGAGGGATGTGGCAGAAGCCAGAGAGGAGAGAACAGAGCAGACCTCGGCCAAGGCCTCTTACCTTGTTCTTGCTGCTCTCACAGCCCTGCAGGCTGGCCAGGATCTGGCTCTCGATGGCCTGCACCCAGAGCTCCCGCTCCTCTGACGTTGAGGCCTCAAAGAGCCACGTCTGGCCCGTCAGCGACACGATAATGAACTCAAATGGCTCATCTGGTTCTGGAAGAGAAAGGTGTGCCATGACATGGGGCTGGGAAGGAGGGGGTCTGCCACAGACAGTCCCCACGGGCCATCACTGTGCCTGCACATGGGCAGGGTCACTGGCAGCAGGGGAGCCCAGGGGGCTGGGACAGGCAAGTGACAGCAGGGAGGAACCAGAGCTCTGTGCCAGCCCTCCCTCCCGCTGCCCACACAGCCCCACTGGCCTTGGCTCGCCCTTCTGCGGCCTCTTTCCCCCACCATCTGGTCTGGGAAACCTAGGAGGCTTCCAGACCCCTGGAAGCTGCTGTGTCCCACCCTCGGAGAAAGCTGCAAATCTCTGGAGTAGTGAAGTCAGCTCCTCTGAGAGCTGGTGCCTCAAAACTGCCCCAGCACCAGCACTCGGTGCCTGCCCACGAGTGGCTTTGGAGGGACAGGCCCCGCACAGCGAGTGAGGCGATGCAAGGAGGTCCCATGGGCTCAGAGGGAGCCCTTCACCAAGGCTTAAAATGAGTTCTACCCCCCAACGCCTGCCAGCCCGGGCTCTGCCCTGCAGCCCCCCACGGGCACAGTTCATGGGGTGCCCTGCCTCAGCCTCGCACCCAGAGCCAGCATTTACCTTTTATTGCCAACTTCAGTAGTTAGTGCAGTAAATGACTTAACTAAGCGGGGCCTGAATGGAATGACTAATAAACGTTATGTCACAGCACACGCTTCAGCTCATAGCAAAATGATTTGTAATTACCTAATTAGCGTTATGCAAATAACACCCTCATCTCCATAATGTGCCTTCCCAGCTCTCTATTAAAAGCAGAGAGTCAACTGCTCAGCTCCAGAGACAGCACAGAGGCCGAGGGGCCCTCGGTCCTCAGCGAGGCAGAGCCGCACTGGCCTCAAGCCTGGCAGGGTCTGTGCCTACTGGGGCTGACGTGGAGAGGTGAGCAGGGGAGTCTGGAGGGGTCTGGAGGGGGTCCTCTCTTCTGCCTGACTTCTCTGTGGTGAAGAAGCCCCTCAGAGTGGAGGGAAGCAGCGGGAGGACAGGGACTGAGGAGGTGCCACAGCCCCCATCAGGGCTGTGAACGGCTGCAGAGGCCTCCGGCCGGGTCCCACCAAGGGCACGGCCACCCTTGGCTGTTGCTGGGCCATCTGGCCCCACCTAAACCAGGCTGCGCCCACAAATACCCCCAGAACATGGTGTGGCCTTGGGAAGTCTCCTTAGGAAGGCCAGCTCCAGTGGGAGTGGTGGGAGAGCACAGCCCTTCCTCACAGGCACCACCTGCATTGACAAGTACCAGGCACAGCAACCAACTTCATCTCTCTCCATCGTGCAGACGTGTTCATCCCACACCAACCTGAGGGTAAACTGCCCTCCTGCGCCTGTGCCGTGGTGCAGAGTGCCTTGGGATCCTGCATTCCACGGTTAAAAGTGTGAGTGACACCAGGCTGGAATGGTGCTGCCCTTTGCCAGTGCTGAGAGCTCCGTGATGTGTCCCGCATGGATCCCAGCAGCTGTCCCCAGCTTGGAGACCAACAGGGCTCATGCACTGGTGTAGGAATGCAAGGCTGGGTTTCCACACCAGATGAGCCTGGGGAGGATGGAATGACTCCAGCGTGTGGGGCTCTCCTGGTTTGCCCTTCCCAGATAGGAAGGGGAGGCTGTTTCATTCATTTCACCCTAAATCAGCCTGGGAATCTTCCTCTGGGGAAAGATGTCTGCACCTGCCTCTCCTGCTGGAATGAGACCAGGCCCTCAGGAGGCTGGCAGGCTGAGGGTAGGGGGCAGCCAGTCACGCTGCTGGACTCTCCCCTCTCTTGTGATGCTCCAGCCTATGGGGACATCCCACTTGTCCAGCACTTTGCCCTTTCCTCCAGCTCTCAGCTGCAGGAGAGACCCCACAGTCTCCACTCTGGGGCTCCCTTCAGGCCATGTGCCTCCTCCCCTAAGGGTGTTTGCTGTGGAGGCTTCAAGGACACCAAATCCCAGCTCAAGAACAAGATTCTTGGCAAATATACAGCTGGTAACTTGTGAATACCGGGAGAAGAAATAACCAGACAACAGCCAGGCTAACAGGCACTGCCTCCTTGGCTCACTGGCACCAGCCTCTGTGACTGCTGCCAGACTCGAGCACGGGCAGGGAGCCCCCGGGCTGCAGGGGAGCCAGGACCAGCCCCCCACAGCTGCAGGGCCAGTGGTTGCCCTGGGCCAAGCACTACCAGCCAGGAGAGAGCAGCAGCTCCCTGAGACGGCTCCATCCTCCTTGTTTCTGTCTCTTGTTTGCCCAGTACCTCCCTACCAAACATGCAGGCAGGAATCTCAGCCCCAGCCTTCCTGTGCCTGTAAGCTTCCCAGTGGAAGCAAATGTCCACCCTGCCTGCCCCAGGCACTGTGCTGGGCTGGGGGGCTCCTAACCCTCTGCTCAGGACATTTACAGGGGGCAGGCAAGTCCCTCCTGCTGGGAGATGGAAATTTCTGGGGCTCCAACCCCACTGGGATGGACCTTTGCACTGTCACAGCTTAGGGACATCCTGGGGCTGCCTGGTCCCAGCCCTGGCAGCAGTCCCAGCCCGACCAAAGCCCCTGCGCAGGCTCCGCAAGCCGGGGGACTCTGCTCCTTTCCTCCTTTGTGCCTCCTGGATTCCAGCTTCATGCTGAACAAAGGGCCTGTTGCTCTCGGAGCCCAGGAAGAGCTAACAAAGGACCACAGCTAAGGCACAGCAAGGCAAACTCCCCACCTCTCCTCCCTGCAGTAACACGGGATGGCAGCTCTTTGGAGGCCCAAGCACAGCGTGGCTACGGCAGAAGGGCAGGGCACTGTGGGATCACACCCCTGGATTCACACATGGGGTCAGCAGAGAAGGGAATCAAGGACTCGGAGCAGCTTTGAACACTGTGCAGATCCAGCTTCTGGGACAGTCTGGGACCAGTTCCTGAGCTCCCCAAGAGATCCATACAAGTTGAATCAGACTCAAGTCGTTGCTTTAGGGGAAGTACAGGGCAGTCTCATCTTTTTCTGGGGAGAGGTACAGGTTTCAATGTGGCAGGGGCATTTCTGGCTGGATGAAAGCATAGCATGAAACATGAGGTAGGTAGAAGGGTCTAGACTACCTCTGCTGAAGCAGAGCTGGCAAAACTCCCTTTCCTGCCCCAGGTGTGGGCACAGGTTCCTTCCCGGAGCCCAGAGGAGCCCTAGGGTTCCAACTCAACAGGGCTCAGGTCCCAGAGGAAGCCACTCCTACAGGAGGCCTTCCTAGCTGCCTTGGGGTGAGGGGCTATCCTGGGCCCAGGCGGCAGAGCCCGTCCCCCCAGCTGCCCCCCGGCGCGCTGGTGGGAGCCCATTACACCAGCTCCATTAGAATTAGTGGGCAGTGGAAATGAACGCGCTGCCTCTCTCTCTTGATGATTTTTTGATGATGTTTTAAAGACTGAGCTCCACGAAGAGTCGCTGAGCAGAGTTCGGTGGGAGCCGGCTCTGCTAATGGGTGTTAACCCCACGACCCCCCTCCAACGCCGCCCAGCAACCAGGGCTCCAAACGGGAGCTGGATGAGGGAGGGCAGGGCAGAGCGGCCGGAATGGCGGGGCCATGAGGCACCCAGACCCCACTGGCAGCTGAGCTGAGCTGGCTCTGGTAGGGACCACAGCCGGGTGACCAGAGCCAGGCAGTCATCCCTCCCCAGGCTGCTGTGCTGGGCAGGCAGCCAGCACCCCCCTCCAGCACACCAGCCTGGGAAGGAGGCATGTCCTCTGGCAAGAAACAAGGGAACGGAGACATCCTGTGTGCCCTGCCGGGAGCCAGCACAAAGGGACAGGAGGAGGGTGAGGAAGAGCCCATCAAGGTGCAAGGGAGGGTCAGAGCTCTGCTGCCCACGGGGGCCCTGGGACAAGGTGCCCAGTGGGATGGTGGGTCTGTCGCTGACACCTGTGGGATGTCGGAGAGGGGAACGGTGGTGTCCTGGAGTGTTGCCCTCACAGCTTGTGCCAAGGCCCCTTTCTCTCTCCTAGTGGTGGGAAGCACAGCTATGAGCAGAAGGGATACATCAGAGGGCTTAAAAACCCCTCAGCTTCAGCACAGGAGAGGGCAGAGCTCAGTCCTGCTCTGCAAAGGGCTCTGGCTACACCCCACATCATCACTCAGACCGGAGACGCCCCTGTGGGGACCCCAACATGGAGCCAGGGGAGCAGCACTTCCCACCGCCTTTCCCATGGACGCTGTGCTTCTCCCTGGGGTGTGGCAGGTCACCCCTGGCCACCGTGTCCCCACAGGGAGCTTCAGTGGAGCAGGTCAGGCAGGGAGGAGCAGGATCACACTCAACATCAGCAAAACAGGAAGCAGAGCTTGCACTGAGCCCTGGTTTCCAAGCAGAAGTCTCCTCTCTCACCTCTGCTCTTCTCCATCTCCCAGTCACATCCAGCCTCTCCCTCCACACTGCCCTTCTCCCACTTCCATTCCTTCTCCCACTTTTTGCTGCCATAGCAGAAGTGTCTCCAGATGCCCTGGTGAGTGGGAGATCACACAGAGAGGAGAGGAGGTGAGGGGATGCCTCCAGTGTGTGGGGCACGTGGCAGAAACCAGGGGCAGGTCCTGCTTGAGGTGCAGGGAGACCCTGGCCCACAGCTCCGCTCTCTGGCTGCCAAGCCCGTGAGAAGGGTCCTGGAGCAGGGCAGCCAGCAGCCCCTGGCCTCAGGATGCTTGTTTGCAAGCTGCCACTGTACCACATCATTACGAGGTGTTTGGGATATCAACAAATTAGCAGGCGTCTGGGAAGAGAAGGATGCAGCACCATTCGTAAATGTCAGCTCGCTGCCTCCTCATTTTGCAGATCATTAAACCCAATATTCCCAACCTGTATTAGTGCGACAGGGACAGGCCCCTCCGCGGGGACAGCCACCAGGAGAGCGCAGCAGGAACAGCGCCCGCTGTCCCAGCGCCCCCGGATCCAGGAGTGCCCCAGGCTGAGCTGGCACGTCCCCACGGGGCACAGCACGGGGGCAGGGGGTGGCAGCCACAGGGGCTCAAGCAGGGATGGGCACACTGAGCTGTAGAATAGAGGGCACACGGCGGGGTCTCAAATGTGTGTGTGTGGGGAAGAACACAGCGTGTCAGGAGGAGCAGGTGCTCCTGAGGGACACCATGGGTACACAGGGGTGTGCAGGGGGTCATGTAAGGGTCAAAGAGTGTCATTTCTGCGTACATGGGGGGCGGATGCCATACAGGGTGCAGCGTGGGCACAGCGTGGCAGGGCTGGGAGGTGGCAGAAGGGCCATGGAAGTGTGTGCAGGCACTGGGGTGGGGGGGCCACGCTGTGAGCACGGGAGGGAGGGCATGTACAGTACGGGCTTTGTGGTGTGAGCAGAGGCTCGTGGTGGGGTCAGGGGTGTGCACATGAGGGTCTCTGGGGGGGCAACATGGAGCTGCACAAGGTCCTCCAGGAACCACAGAGCGAGGGGGTGGGAGCTGATGGAGAGGGAGGACCGGCTGCGGTGCAGCCATGCCCGGCAGGAGCCAGGACGGAGCAGGGAGCTCCAGGGTCTGTAATGAGCAGGAGTGACTTGTTAGCTCTGAATTAAGAGGCTTGGCGGAAGGAAGCGCGGGTGACACAAGCTGTGTGGGGCAGGCGGGAGCTGAGCGATGGCAGCTGGAATCCCCGGCAATCTGGTGAGTGCGGCTCAGCCCCGCGCTCCCGGCTCACCGCGATCGGCCCCCGACAGCCCCTGACAGTTGGCATTAATCACGCACATCGCCCCAACACAACTCTTTACTGGCCATCAATTTCCCGTGGGTTTTAAAACTAAAAAACAAAGACAAAACCGCGTCGTTTGGCCGCCACTGAGAAGCACATTAAGGGGCTGTCAGCTTCTCGCCATGCACCCTGCATCACTCTTTAAGCACATGAGAAGTTCATTATCCCCGGAGCTCTGGCAGCCATGGGGAGGCTGGCGCAGGGAGCGTCGCAAAGGTGCTGCTGCCCTCAGCTGTGTCTGGTGGCTCCTGGGCCCTCCTGGCTCTCGGGACAGGGGCCGAGGGTCTCAGGCACGGAGGAGTTGTGGCTGCAGGGAGGCTCTGGGTTGCTCCGTGGCAGGATGGGGCACTTTTGGCCGTGACACTTTGCTGGGCTCTGATCTGAGCAGACTTCCCTGATGGTCCCTGCGGGCTGACACTGCAACCCCACTGTGGTGACAAGCATCTTCATCCCCTGACATCCTGACACACGTTTGCCAGCCTGTGGGTGCTCCCTGACAGCCTGAGCCGCACTCCCCGGCTCGGTGACATCCCCGGCAGCCCAATCCCACGCCTGCCATAGTTTGTGGATGCTCCCTGGCAGCCTGACACTGCGCTCTCTTTAACATGAGCCCATGTAAAATAGCAACAGCTCGTTTGATTTATGATACTTCAGAACAACTAAGATTCAATTGCTCCGCACGTCCCTGGCTCTGATTACCTCCTAAATGAGATAAACTGATGGCAATTTATCCCCAGACCTCACTAACTTTCCCAGGATGCTAACCTGAGCCGCTCGTGCCCCGCTCACAGGTGTGGGGTGGGCACAGGAAGGTGAAGGCAGTCTGGGCACTGCCCAAACCTGCTCCCTCACACACCCCCACAGCTGCTCCTGCCCAGAGGAATACTGTGACAGAGGCTGAGCCTGACACTGCACCCAGCCCCACACAGCTCTTGCTTTTGGGGTGTCCGGCCACAGTGCTCCCCACACCAGCACAGCCACACTGGCCTGAGCTGATGGGAGCATGGCTCATCACTGGGCTGTTCCCATGCTCCTGCCAGGACAGACAACCCTCCACAGAGGGATGAGCACCACAAGGGATGGCAGCTCAGCCACAGGGCCCATCAGCCCTGCTCCCAGCACAGTGATTTCACACTTTCACTGTGTTGACTATGTGCAAGCAAAAAGCTCAGATTACCCTGCTCTGAAAAAAACTGCTCAAGAGCAGCTAAAAAAGATTCAAGGGGGGATCAGGCATACTTATGGACACCAGTCCATGAGATAAACCCATGGCCATGCCCATGATGTGGGGCAATGCTCAGCTCTGGGTTCATGGTTGGAACTGACTGCCATCCATTCAGACATTGGTATGGGACCTCACGTGGAGGCTCAGCACCTCCTTGTGCTTGCACCAGTCTCTCCATCTCAGCCGCAGCCCCTCAACCCACAGCAAGGCATCCTGCTCACACAGGGCAGCTGGGAGCACAACAGAAGTGATCCTGCCTTGGGAAGTCCAATTTTGCAATCGGACCAGTCCTCTAACACAGTAGATTACTTAAAAAATAAATGCAAGGCCAATTTGTTAACAGCCAACCAAAAGGCAGAAACCCACTATGCAACACCTCAGGGCACCACTGAGTCCCAGCACAGGCCTGGGAGCAGCTGGTTCCTGTCGCCTCTGCCCGACCACAGCGCTGAGCTGGCGGGTGCTGCACCCACCCACCCCTGGAGGAGGACATGGGGGTTTGGAAAGTCTGGAGACAAGGCAGACGGGTCACTTGTGTGCCTGTGGGTCACAGATGCCCCCTCTGCTGTGCTGCGCTCTCCTCACCGCTCACGTGGTGCTTGCACTGCTCCTTCCCACCAGAGCCAGAGCAGCTCCCATTGCCCATGTCCCAGCACCAGCAGCACTGCGATCCCAGCCAGGGGATGCAATCCCAGCCAGGGGATTCCTCCTGCTCCCGGCACCAGTGCCACAGGCCCTGGCAGCAGGAGGATCCACGGCGTGCAAGGTCTGTGAAGTGAGGGATGAAGGTTGGGAACTGACACTTTGCTGGCAAATGAAGTTCCATGTTGATAAATGTGAAGGAATGCACACTGTAGGAAAAAGTTACATTACTCCAACACCTCACAGGGCTCCAAATTAACCATATCAAGACAAGGCCCAGGTATCACTGCAGGTAACACAGGCCTTTGCCCAGCTCACTGCCACGGCCAAGGACCAGGGCAGGGAACAACAGAAAATACTGTGATGCCCTCGTGCTCCACCTCTCCCACTCCACCTTCCAGGGATGCTGCCAAATCGGGAAGGACATATAGAGTGAGCACATGTCTGAAAAAATACCCCCATGAAATGACAAAAAAACTGGGATGGCTCAAAGACTACAGGCCTGGGCACCCGAGATTTTGAGCAGTGGTTAGTCCATATAAATGCTTTGTAAAAGTGTTCCCGAGTTCAATGACCTTTTCCATCACAGCCCTGCATTCCATCCTGTGCACCTTGAGGTCCCAGCACCTGCACCTCTCACATGCCATCAGCTGTGCTGAGCAGTCACAGGACAGACTCCTCCTCTGCAAGCACTGACACATCAGTCCTGCACTCCTCCATCTTCATTGTGGCCAGCTGAGTGCCTTCATGTCCACAGCATAAACCCAGATATCACACCCAAGTCGGCTCTGGGACCTTCTTTACAACTCTTTCTTAGAATATTATTAAAGGATGGGACACAGTACTTCAGCACCTGATTTCTCAAGTTTCACATGTGGGTGCAAAGTCATTCTACCCTTTGCTATCTCACTCTTCATACAAAGAATGAGTCTCTTCTTTTGCCAAGCACTCGGCTGAGAACTGCAAACCAATTTAGGAAGGGCAGCAATGGATCTGAGGAGGCAACATACACCCAGAGCTAAGAACAAACTGCAGCTACACCATGCTCTGCTAACCATGAGACCAGTGGGTATGACAGACTCAAACAACGCTCAAAGGGCCTCAGCCCAGGTGCCTTCCCCCTGCAGAGGGGAAGCCTGTCCTAGACTTGGTGCATTTCAGATGCAGACAACTACAACAGCAAAGAAAGCACAACAGAGCTGTGCAACTCTGCACATCATCTCTGCAATGTCTCCAAGAGAGGGAACCTGAGGAGAGCGGTTCTGCCATGGGACACCTGGGCTGCTGGGCTGCAGGTGGACCCGTGATGGAGTAAGGTGCCAGGACAGTTGCAGCAGCTTCAGGTACACACTAACATTTTCTGGTTTGTTTTGCAGCAGCCATTAGCTTCCAACACTTGTACTGAATTCTCCTCCCATCTAAATTACATCTTTGGTTCACTACAAAAGCTTATTGAGTGCTGTGGGACAGGACCACCAAGAGTGAAGTAAAATCTCAGACTGAGGATTGCTTTTTCCAGAGGCTAATCACAGATGCAGGCTTTGGAGAAAGTGGCTGCCAGGCTCATCTCTACCTGGACAAATCTAGGTGGCTTTTCCTAGCAGAATGCTTCCCCATGCCTTGCAGCCTCCTGCCAAGCTCTGGGTCCCTCTTCAGCAAGCACAATCACCAGAATTTCTCAACACAAAAACCATCAGTACTTTGAGTATTGGCTAAGCAGTGCACATGCCTTCAGCTGGTCACCTGAACTAGACAAGCTTTTCCAGAAGACCTCTGGCTTCAGGCAGGTGCCCAGCCCAGGTCCTTTAAATTATGAAAGTTTGGCCAATTTCCGAAACAGAAATAGGTTCTTGTGGTGGAAAGTGTCTGCACCCGTTAACCATGTGGAGTGCTCTCAGGCCTGGGACTACAGCCAGTAATTATTGTTACCACTGAGGGTCTGTGCAGGCACGGGCAGGACGGTGGTCCTGCCTGCACCGAGCATGAGAAATGGAGGGAAGGGCAGGTCAGAAAGGCTGGTTTCTCCCTCCCTCCTTCCTCAGCACAAGCTGCTTGGACAAGGAGTGCTCTGAGCCCCAGGTCTCCATCAAGTCCCGCATCAGGAGTGCTCTGAGCCCCAGATCCCGATCAAGACCTGGATGAGGAGCACTCTGAGCCCCAGATCCTCCCCGAACCTCACAGGACCCCTGGATGCCTGGTGCTTCGAGATGGCAGTGCTGCCAGACCCTTCCTACCTTCTGCTGCTGTGCTGGGACCGTCAGGCCGAGTCGTCCCTGTGCTCTTTTTCCTGCGATGCTTCTTCCTGTTGGCATGTGGTGACGGAGGCGGCTCCAGCTTCGGGCTGGCGGTGCTGGAAATGTTTGGGCTGGAGCTGAGCGAGTCAGCAGTACCATTAGCTGGGGACAAAGACAAGGCAAGTCATGTACAGCGGGACAGTGACAGTCTGCTCTTTGCAGAGACACCCAGGTGTCCAGGCCATATGGCCACGTGAGACAGGGAAGTACCCGCTCAGCCCCACGGCACGGGGCTGCTCTGACACTCGCTCCAGCTCAGGGCTGGCAGCAAATTGGGCAGAGTCAGGCTGGACCTGCTCCACACCAGGATCCATGCGGGATGATCACACGGGGGCAGCTCTGGCATCTATGCAGCCGGGACACACACAGTGGCATCGCTGGGGCAGCCTGATGTGCCACCCCCCAGCACGTGTCCCTGGGGGAGCAGATCAGCAGCAGCGTCCTCACGGGGCTGCACGAGGGAAGGGAGGGATCCAGGAGGTGCTCTCGGTGCCCCCGGGGCAGATCCAGGCCCCGGGATCTGCAGAGCCTCTGCAGAAGCACTGGCCCCCCCAGCACCGCTCTGCCAGACGAGGTGACTGGGGTTGCCACACTCAGGAACCTGAGCATGATGGGCTCAATAGGCTTCCGATACGGAGCTGAAGAAGCTGCATCCCCAGCAGCAACGCACCAAATTTATCCTCAATCATACTGTTCCTTACAATTAATAGCAGAATTAGAAACAATCAGGGAGCTGCCTAATTACTGTCAATTAGAGTGCGCTAATCAAGCTCCGATCACACACACACACGCTGCCGCTGCACTCACCATTAAATGTCAAATTTCATTAGAGACCAGCAACAAAATCAAAAGCCTGACATTCAATTTCAGCAGCACACACAGCGCAGGCTTCCAATCAGCATAAAAATGCAGACTCCGGGGAAGGCAACGAGGCGCAGGAGCCCTCGCTGCACTGTTAACCCTCTCCTAAATCCACTCCTGCCTCTCCAGTGTCCACCCACCCCTAGGGCACAGATGGCAGCTCCTCTGCTTCAGGCAGCTTGCCGTGCTCCCCGCCACAGCCCAGTGTTTCCCATCAAGTCCTGACCCTTCATTTCCATGTTCTGTGGCACCTGGAATTAAGGAAGGAATCACAGCATCGCACAAGGGCACAAGTTCCAGCAGCGGGACTGCGGGGACCTGCCAAGCCCTTCTCCCACCCCAGCCCAGCCTCTGCCTCCCCAGTTCAGCCTGCTTTGGTCAGACTGACTCTCTGGGGCTTGATCTGTCTTGACAAACATCAGCAGTGGGGTGGAGAGGGGAACAGTGGGATACAGAGCAGCACAGAGGGAAAGAGCCCAGGACCTCCCAGGGGTCGGAGGGCAGCCAGTGTCCCACTCACATTGGATGGGAGAGGACTCAGCATTGGATCTATCCCAACTCTGGCTTCTCCTGCACTGACACAGACTAGTAGGGTGTTTCTGATGCTATTTATCCACAGGGAAATAGCTCACCCTTGACAATTAGGAGAGATAAATCTAATAAAATCAGACTCCAGTTTTATAAATATAAATTACTGATCCTGTTACAGGACTGTGCTTAGAGCAGGTGTGAGGCACCTTCAGCTCCCAGCCGCAGGTCACAGGGGACCTGAACTTTCTCGTCAGTGGCTACACATGGTGCCTCCAGCCTCCCTCTGCTGCCCACCTGCTCACCAGGATGCCCCCCGGGCCAAACTCTGTGCTGCCAGCACTCTGCCCCCCTCCAGGCTCAGTGAGTGGGGTCGTGCACTTCTGCACTCCCAGCAATGCTCCTGCAGCCAGCCGTGAGCCTGGCACCTCCCGAGGGATCACTGCCCTTGTCCCTGCTCTTACTGCCCAGCACCAGAGCTGGGGGCTTCCAGGGCCATGGTGGGATGGGGTTGGGATGGCAGTGGGGGGGGCCAGCATGTGGAATATACTCCCTCTGCAAGATCAGGTGTTGCTCGCTCCCCTTCCTTCCCCAGCAGGGCCAGTGAGCCCCTCTGATCCACCCAAGGACTTCCAGGTCCCTGTCTCACCATGGAACCCTCCACAGGCACACGTGGGACCTCCTGGGCTCCATCTCCAAACCAGCCAGTCTTATGGGTGGCTCTGGGACCCCACAGGTGGGTCACAGAGCTCCTCCATAAAGGACAGACATGGAATGTGCTGGAGCACGTTTACATGACCGTATGTCCCTGTCCATCCCTCTTCTGTGTGCACTCCAGGGCACAACTGGAGCAGGCAGCCTGTCCTCAGGGGTCAGGAGGGCAGCCTACACCCTCGGCATGTGCCCAAAATCTGCTCTGAGCAGAGGAATATTGTTCACCTGCCTGGCCATGTAGAGCTGGAAACACAGCAGAGAGCTCAGACCCTGGAAGAGCTGGGGTTCAGGTGTGGTGCAGGGACCCCCTCACAGTGCTCAGTCCCTTGGTGGAGGGGTGGTGGTGCTGCTCAGCTTGGCACTCTGTGCCATGTGGAAAGCACTGCCTACCCCCCAAATGCCCCCTCCCTCGTGATGCTGAGAATCCACTTCTGCTGGCTGTGGCTGTGGGTGGCACAGCCCATGGACACAGCCCTGGGACCCCTGGGACCCCTGGGTTGGTGGTCCCTCGTGTGCCACAGGCCCTCCAGCACGGCTGGCCCCGTTACGTGTCTGTGGAGCACCAACACAGGGTATGGCCAGGCAGGAGTGACCACAGGGCTCGGGGTCCAGCACAGTGCAGCAGGACCCAAGAGTGGACAAACAGCCACCAGCACTCGGGACACACTGAGCATTGAGCTGACATCTTACCCCTGTGTCACGGGGAGGAGCAGCAGCAGAGAATCACAGGAAGTCTTGGGTTGGAAAGGACCAAAGATCATTCAATCCCATCCCCCTAAAACGGGCAGGAACACCTTCCACTAGATCAGGTTGCTCCAAGCCCCGTCCCACCTGGCCTTGAACATTTCCAGGGATAAATCCACCTGCTTTTGGTTTAAAAATGTTATTCCTTGTCCTGCCACAACAGACCCTGCAGCTCAGCTCCCGTCTGTCAGTCTCCAGTTACTGTGAATGGAAGAGGCGGATTGGTCTGGGTGCTTTGAGCATGGACAGCCCGAAGGACAGGAGGAGAGTAACGGAGCGGGGGGGCTGGGGAGGCCGAGGGACAGGATGCAGGAGGATGGGGAGCAGAGGGATGGAGAGCAGGGACTGGATGGCTCTCCTGTGACACCCGGGCCAGGCCACGGCAGGCCAGTGCACAGCCCCCAGCTCTGCAGTGGGGCCGCTGGGAGGAGGGATCAGACCTGCCACACCAGGCAGGAGGGCACTGGGGCAGGGAGCTGCTCTCCGCAGGGGCTGTGCCACAGAATCCACCCGTGCCAAGGTGCCTGGTGTGCCGGCCGCGGTGCTGCACGAGGGTGTCAGAGCTGCTGCCGTGCACGCCGGGGCACGGAGGATCCCGCTGCCTGCGCTCACGGCTCCCACGGGCCGGCACCGGGGACCCTCTCCCGGCACGGGGATGAAGAGACACACCCGTGTCCGGAGCATCTCAGATGCGCTTCCCCTGGCCGGGGCTGCCCCGCGCCCCCCGTGTCCGAGGCGAGGGGGCCGCCGGCACATCCCCGCTCAGCGCTGCGCCCTTCCGCTCCCCTCGCCCGCGCTGCCCCATCAGCAGTAACAGTCTGATTAATTCGCTTCCAGCAGGGAGCTGATGGGGCCAATGATGGAGCCGCTGCATCAGGCGCGCTGAAATTGATAGTTTTTCACAGTTACAAATGAGGAGCCTCCTCAGCTGCAAATGGCGCCCGCACAGTCGGACTCCGGTAATGATCATAAAGAGGCTCCTTTAAACTGCGAAAGCCCCTGGGAGCGGGCGGGGGGGCGGCTGCCGCGCTAATGAGAACTACAAGGGGCGAGCAGGCATGGAAATGGCTCCTCCACTCTTGATGTGCATTTAACTGCTTTTTTAGTGCGGCGGCAGAGCCAGGAACGAAGGAGTGATGAATGCAGCACAAAAGCATTTATTTTCCAATTCGGCAAAGTGGCTACGTTGGGAAATGTATGAATTATTTTAATTCACTCAACTGTCCTGAAACATCACAGAGAGCGAGTGAGCGTGGGGGGAGGGGGCGGGCCGTGCTCAGTGTGTGCTCCAGAGACAGGAATCACTCCTATTTGTTCAGCTGCCCCAAAATCTGGGAGATGGGGGTGCCGGCAAGGAGCAGAGATAGGGAAAGCGGTAGTTACCCCTGGCACGGTGAGCTGGGAGTGAGGTCAGAGCAGAGAGGTCGGAACCATCCTGCTGTGGAGCAGCATCCCTCGGCTGGACCTTCTCCACGCCCAGCAGGAGAGCTTCTCCCCCGGCTGGGACACTGCCAGCCGACCCTCGCTAAGGGGGACAGCCCCAGTGAGGCCCACAGGCTGTGTGTGACACCCACGAGCAAACTCCAGACTTGCAGCCACGGGGCAGAGCTCAGGACTGCCCCATTGATGAAATGAGTCCCCACTTGCCACAGGTAAGGGGAGAGGGGCCAGGAAGGCTACTCACAGGGGTTGGGGCAGCTGCCGGGGATGGCCACAGCCTCGTTCCACTGGTCTGCGCTGGACACGGAGTAGGAGCGCTGGTGCATCCCGTCCGGCTTGGAGCTGAAGCCCACCAGGTTGATGCCGCTGATGGAGCGCTCGGAGTGCAAGGACGTGCTGCTGGTCGAGTGGGGAGCACCTGCAAGAGAGACACGAGCTGAGCACAGCCCCACTGCTGCCCTGCAGCACGGGGGACAAGGCACAGTGCCCTACACCTGATGCCACATTCGTCCAGTGGCCCTGCATAAGGACAGGCTCTCTCTGTCTCTCCTCTCCCAAGGGGTGCTGGTGCATCACCCCAAGGGTGCTGAGAGAAGAGCCCAGTGCACCCCACTTCCCAGAGGAACCCCAGTTGGTGGGTTTCAGTGCAGCACCCCAGGATGCACAGCTGGGGATCCCGGCACACAGCTTTCCCACAGTTGGAGTTCATGGTCTGCTCACGATTTTCACTACTGCCTCCAGCACCTCGGCAAACCCAAACCCACTCCATGGCCACCATGCCCACCCTCATCCCTCAGCTTCACTCCCTGGGTGTCCCTGGCAGTAAAATCCAGCCGTGCAGGAGGCACTGGGAGAGAGTGGGCAATCAAACAGAGGGTGTCAAAGGGACAAGCAGGGGAACAGACATCTGTAAGATGGGAACAGCAGGTGGAAATGCTTCTTCCCACTCGCTGGAAACCCCTGTGACTGTGCCCAGGAACCCAAACCCCTGAGAGAGGGGTGTTTTTAGGACCAGAGGCTGTCACAGAGGACAAGATCGCTCAGTGCTTCAAAACGGGTCAAGTGTTTCTGGATTACAAGAACACCCAAAATTTCGAGAACAGCAAACAGGGCAGTTCTGACAGGGAGCACACATCATCCTGTTCAGTCTGCAGGCAATCTGCCATGGAGGAGAACACTGCCCCGAGGGACCCCACTGCACCTCCTCACTGCCAGCCCCTTCCTGTGCTCCCCTCAGGGCATTCGGCTCCAGCCCCTGCAGAGGATGTGCTCTGGGAGCTCAGGGTGGAGCAAAGGGGCACCTTTCCTACTCTGAAGCTGCAGTCTCCTCCTTCCATGCCCGGAGGCGCAGAGGCTGAGCTGGGATTCCCACTGCAGCCCACCTGCCATGGCCAGGGCAGGGCTGTGGAATGGCTCCGTGCACAGCACACCACAGCTCCAGCCCTGGCACACCGACCCCTCCACGGCCACGGCACACCTGGGCTACCAGCCACCACGAGGAACTGAGCCCCGGGTTCAATGGGACTGCTGTGGCAGTGGGAACCTTCCACAGAACAAGTGGACACCTGCAGGAGTGGGTTCCCAGCAAAAGCTGCTACAGCCAGGGCAGTTCATCTGTGTGAAACCAGCCCCACTTGGCTCCTGTGGATCTCAGCACGGCCGAGGTGGAAGGAAGGTCTGGCATCATCCCGTCCAGCTCCAGCTCAAGGAAGACCCCCCCAGTCAGCAGCCCTAGACTGTCTGACAGGTTTGGAGCATCTCTGACGAGGCAGATGGCACAACCTCCCTGGGCAACCTTTCTCTGTGCTGGACCACTCTTCACGAAGAGCAGAGACCCATAAAATCCCACGTGGAGCCCCAGAGTTTGTACATAAATGTACATTTCTGTTCCTGCTGTTTCCATGAAAACCCAAGGGATGCTGTTCAGATGCTGCTGGTACCTGGGCACAGCCGGGGCTGCCCGACAGGACAGCTCAAGAGCCCAAATCTCCCCTCCAGAGAACAGAGGGGTGATGTGCCCACCAGCCCTGCACCAGGCATGTCTGCCACCCACCATCATCATCATCATCATTGCCACCCCTCATTCATCGCCAGCATGGCAGGTGCCTCCCACCCTCCTCTTCCCTGCACCAACCCTGTACCAAAAATCCCCTTTCCCTGCTTTGTTGTGCAGGGATCACCCACGAGCCTTGGCTGCAGATCCTGCCTGCCAGGGACACGGTGCCCCTGCACCTTGAGCTGCCAGGACCCTGCACCCTGAGCTGCCAGGACCCTCACCCCAAGCTGCCAGGGCCTCAGCACCCTGCACCCCGAGCTGCCAGGACCCTGCAGTGCCCCTGTCTCGCTGCCTCCAGCCCGGCTGCTGCACGCTTCCCCCTCCCTCCCCTTGTTCAGCACCACAGAAACACGTGTAAAACCATGACACTGACTTTGCCTCTAATTAGCCCTTAATTTACAAGACACACTCGGAAGGGTAATTAGCTGGCGCTCTGCTACTGACTGCTGCATCCATCTCCTCTCGCCTCCTCGTGGGAGGGAGCCTGCTGCCACTGGAGCAGGGACAATGCTGCTCTCCCCAGACCGGGATGAGCTGGGGCCTGGGACAGGACTGCATGGGATGGGATGGGATGAGAACAGGTTGTCCAGCACTCAGGCAGTGCCTGCCAGCCCCAAGCCCCCCACATACAGCCCGTGTCCACAGCCACACCTACAGAGGAAAGGAAGGTGAAGAGAGGAGAACAGAGGGGCTGGGAGAAGCTGCTTCCTCAGAGGGGAAAGTCCTGCAGGGCTCCAGGGAGCCCAGATCTTCACTCTGCACCCCCACTCAGCCATGCTGGGAGCCCCAGTCTGCCAGGATATGCCCATCCAACACTCCTCTGAGGAGCAGTGCAGGCTGCCATGAACACCCAAAGTTCCATTTTGAAAGAAGGAACAGCCTCCATCAGCCTCTCCAGCCCCTCCAAGCTCCTGGCACCTCATTCTCACTGCCTGGAGTCACCCAGCTGTGGGGGAACCCCCCCACAGCCCATCCACTCACTCAGCTCGTGGACCTTGCCCCGCTCAGCTCCAGCGTGTTCCAGGGAGCTCCTGGGTGGTCCCAGCAAGGCCAGAGCTCTCAGGAATTGTGTCCCTTTGGAAGCAACACCCTGGTAGCCGCTGGATATGTCCCTTGTAAATTGGGCAAGCCAAGTGACAGGTGAATAGACAGCTACATGTAAACACTATCTGTCCCTGAGCCAACACCTCCAGGGGCCGAAACCCCGACCTGCTGACAGCCCCCCAAGTCCCTCCCCAGTCACTGTTCCCTCACCCCCCCAAGAGACTCACGTGGCCACATCAGTGTGACCCAAGGCTCCATGATGTCTTTTCAGCACAGCCCAACTGATGGATGTGGCAGTGGATGGAAAAAGACCTGAAACCAGAATGGCCTCTTCCCAGGCATGACATGTGGCAGCCTGGACCCTTTGGTGAAACACCTGGATCAGAGCAAACTGGGAATTCTTGTTAAGGTGAGGCTGCCCAGGGAACAGGGTAAAGGTGTGTTAGCCAAAGGGGCACTGTCAGCTGGGAAGGAGATCATTTGCAGAGTCACTTAAAGATCTTTTTAGGGTCTCTTTAATATTTTCAAGAGAAATTTGGCAAAATAATGCAAAGGGTCTGGTGAAATTTCCTGGTGACATTATGCTGGTGCTGCTTCCCGGCCCTTGCAGCACAGGGGAACCCAGCTTCGGTGTGGGGAATGGGCTATGCTGAATTTTAAAGAGGCACCAGCTGAAAGCAGTTTGGGGATCCCCCCGGGTTTATGGCCAAGGACAGGACAGGTCTTTCCTCTGGACTGCCAGGCCCTGCTCCAGCACAGGCAGAAGGACACTGCTGCTGTGCCACGGTGCAGAAGGACTGTCAGCATGTGGCCTGAGATGGTGATGGAGGTGCTCCAGGACGGGGTGAGGACACCCTGCCATGGAGCAAACCCTGTTTTCTCTGGTACTGCAGGGGCTAGTACAGTAGCACAGTGCAGGTTAATGCCATTGACCCTCTGCCAAACTGTGTCCCAAGGAGTCATCAGTCACCGCTGCCCCTTAACCAAAATTTTAGGGCATTTGTTGCCAACTGATTACCATTTATTTCAAATAAGAACCAGGATTACTGCACGTCACCTCAGTGTACTGCTCTGCTGGTGCCCGCAGCCAAGCATGTCTCAAAGCCTCCCCAAAAGCCATTGGGACCCCAGTACATGGAGCTGGATGGGAACCCACCTCCAGCTGGTGGGAAACTCCTCCACTCCCAGAAACCAACCGGTTCCTGAGGGGAGGTGAGAGCCAAGGAGCCTGGTAGAGCTGCCTGTCTGTAAGATCCCTGCTGGGGAGGACATAACTCACCCCTCCCTGCCAATGGGCTGGCAGCTGACATGGCACAAACACAGCTGTCCTGGGAGCCCCTGTGGCTGCTGTTCCCAGAGCCATCCGTGCCCCAGAGCTGCTCTGGAGCCAGGAGTCTCTGTGAGGCTGGATTTCTGAAGGAAGCATTGCATGCTGTTACCGGGACATCGGCAGGTCCTCCCTCAGGAACAATTCCCACTGGTAACAAGGCCAAAACACGTGGGGTGGCTCCCAGGAGCACTGGGATGGAGACGTGCAATTTGAAAGACACCAACCTCCACGTTTTGCTCAGGGCTGACCACCAAGCCAAGCACCCACACAGTGCCCAGGCATGGCAGGGCACGTTCCGGGGTGACAGATGGACAGGTGTCCTTCCCAGCTCTGCCAACAGCGAGTGTCTGTGTGGAATCACTGATCCAAACCGTGGGTGACTGAGGTTTCCCAGCCCAGCTCCACAGCAGGGCCATCAGGATCTGGCAGCTTGCGCACAGCGGGAGCCATTGCCATGCACTGGGCCTCACAGCTGCTCTGACACAAAGAATCTCCCTCCTCTCTCAGTGCTGCCTTTGGAGAGCAGGGGTTTGGACATCTGCATGTGCTCAGTGACTATGTGACACCCCAGCTCCCACCAAAGCTGGCCCGTGGTGGGTACAAACTGCCAGGACAAACAGCCCTGTGTGGTGCCGATGCCTCTGGGAGGACTGAGAGCCTGGGCTGGCCATGACACCTCCCGTCTCCCAGCCAAAGCTCTGGAGCACACGAGATAAGCCAGGGCTTCTCCAGCCCACACACCAACTCACCTCTGGTTCAGATGGCAGATGACCCCACGTACAGAGCTACAAGACCCAGCAAACCTGAGAAAGCTGGGAACAGTGACGCTGCCCCCCAGAGTCCTGCACCCAGAGCACATCACCAGCCTGGAAACCAGAGGCAGCCACAGCCCCTCCATCCTCTCCAGCACGAGCTCTGCCCGCACCAAGCCCCCACACAGAGCCCTGAAACCAGCTGAGGCACCCCATGTCCACCCACCGAGCAGCTC